AGGAAAACCAGTCTCCTCTTGGCTTATATCGAAATCCTCTGACATTCTTCTTTACAAATACTCGTTTTGTACTTCTAATTCGTGACCGTTGTTTTGTTCTGATCTCTCTTACAACAGTGAGCGCAAGTTAGATTAAATTGATTATTACGTTTTAAATATGGTTATTTTTCCGGGTGAGTAATTCATGGGCTAATTTACATTTTTGGGTGAACTAACCCTTTACGGGGGCGTTTTCCCCCACTCTATCCATTAATTATTATGAATTGTCAAAAAATGTGTGTTGACAAAAAAACTATAAAAACAAACGTCAAATAGGGCTAAATGAATAACATTTTAATAAAAATGCTGCAGCAGCGGGGAAGGTGAACATGCATGCGTTATTTTAATTTGTGTTAATGTGTGTGCTTCTATTTTTTTTACCTAAAACCTACAGTACACAGACATTTTTGTGGACGTGCATTTCAGTGGGCTTAAACAGATCACATTTTACATCAAATTTAGTTCACAAACAACTGACAGTTGTGACCTTAAATATATTCGACATTAGTGACTTACATTTCGCGCCATCAGTCGTGCATGCACTCAGGGGATTCCCGGTTCTTGTCAGACTTGTGAATTCAGTTCACTGAAGACTCGCTCTGAACGAATCATTTGAATCAGTGGGTTGCTGACTTGAAAACAGCTGCAATCGGAATCGTTTGGTGCGATTTATGAACCTATTTAACAGGTTTATTGAAAAGAATCAGTTAGTTCATGAATCGGACACCGCTTTTGCGTCTCGGAGTGCGTGATGATTTCTTTATTTCAAAATAAGGAGTAACAACATGTTTTATGAAATGTAGTGGAGTAAAAAGTAAAATCTTACGCTTTGGGATGTAGTGAAGTAAAAGTAAAAGTTACTCAAAATAAAACTACTCCAGTAAAGATAGCCTACTTGAAAAGTAAACTTAAGTACAATAACAAAGTAAAAATACCTCGTTACAGTCCACCGCTGCTTATTAGCAACCACAGAGATGGTACCTGGCAACCACCCACAACACCCTATTTGTGGCAGGGTATTCACTGCACTACAACTATCGGCATATTCTAATTCTAATAGTTCCAATATTTTTGGACAAATGAATTTATGATTTTATTTATTTATTTATTTACCATTTTAGATTTTAGATACCATATAGAGATATCATTCGATACATTTTTATTTCTAGTTCAAGAAATAATTCATAACAAAGCATAACTAGAAACTATTACACTACCGCTTGAAAGTCTGGGATCAGTAATATTAGATCTGATCTCCACACAAGTAATATTGGATCTAGTCTCTTTAACAGATCCTGTCAGAAGATATTAGTTTTGTCTGGTATCCAAAATTGTCGGTAGAGTTTTGTCTGGTACCCAAAACTGTATTAACTAAAAGTCTTATATCATCTTGAGATAACAGATGAAGCCAAGGAAGAGCAGAATTAAGAATTAAGAAATTAAATAAAATTAAGAAAATTAAGAATTAGGAGGAAAAAAAATTAGGAGGATTTATCGATTTTCGTTGCATATGTTTCAATTCACAATCTTTGTCTGACCAGCATTTATGCTCACCAAGGTTGCATTTACTAGATCAAAAACACAGTAAAACAGTAATATTTTAAAATATTATTACAATTTAAAAACAACTGGTTTCTATTTCAACATGTAATTTATTCCTGTATTTAATTTATTCCAGCAGCCATTGCTCCGGTCTCCAATGTCACATGATCCTTCAGAAATCATTCTATGAAACATTTCTTATTATCATCAATGTTGAAAACATTTGTGCTGCTTAATATTTCTGTGGAAACATAAGACATGTTATTTTTGGGATTCTTTGAAACAGAAATGTCTTTACTGTAATTTTTTATCAATTTAATGCATCCTTGCTGATTTCTTTCAAAATAACTTTACCATGTTTCCATGTTCTTTTAAGATTTTATAAAATTTGATAATTATTCCAGGCCTTTGAAATTCTCTGGATTGTAGGAACACTGGTCAACACATCAGTTTATTTATAACCAGAATTAGAATTCACATGAAGAAGCAGCTTGTTTTTGCAGTTTAAATAATTTTTCAAATAACCAGCTATCCAGTAACTCATTCCCAGACAAAATGCAGACAGACTGTAACTGTTCTGCAGCTTTGAACAGACATTCTAACTGATACTTCCAGAGAATAATCAGGCATCAATCGTACAGTTATTCCAACAACAAATAGCTCAGAGCAATCATGTAAATCCTATTAAAGTGGTGAATCCTCTTGTAGAGGCAGTTTTCAAGATTACCAGACAGTGGCAGCATTGGCTGATATGCAGGGGGAGGGGCTGACACTGTAAAAGATGACCTCAGGCTCCACTGCTAGACACATATAATCCACCCTTGCCTAGCAAATGTACAAGGCGTTTTCATTGGCTCCCAGCAACAAGATTTGGAATAATCCAAATGCATCTCCTGTAACGCACAACATCATGACCTGGCATAATGAAACTTTGTGTGCATGTTGATTTATTTTATGCCCTAGGTTTCTGCTTACTGATAGCTGTCAGATGAAAAGGGCGTGTTCTCTACCTCAAAGTCAGCAATTATGTGTGCAGCAGCTTGTCAAGGTATCCATGGAAACAAAGCAAAAATAAATATGGGAGGTTAGGGGCAGGAAATAATAATGAAAATAAAATAAATTGGTGGAAAAAGACAAAAAAGTCACAAGGGTTGAGGCGTGTCGTCATGTAAATGACACGCACTGTACAGGGAAATTTACATCACAATTAAGTACAACTAGACCAAATCGTGTTGTTTAAAAAAAAGATACTGGGTTATATATTAACTTCAAGAAAGATAAACAGAAGCTTCAGGCAAAAAGGCCCCAATAATCCCTTTTTTTATCATACGACAATGCATTTCTAATTTATATCTTCTAAGCATTCCTGCCCAAACGTCTAAAGACGCACACATTCAGTGCCCACTGCACGCTCTAAAAGAAACCACAAAACAGCTATTTGTTTAGCTCTAGACTCCCTTCCATCATGCATATAAATGGGGCCACCTTCTGCAAACTCTGACCCTTTGATTACATAAGACACCAAGAGGAACACGAAGCTGCATTACTCAAACTCTCTTTATGTCCCACAATGCCGTTCACTTCCGCAGTAACCATGCTACACAAATCTCACATCTCTGCTGGAAAAAATGCAAAGCAAGACGTTTTCTCTCTTTTCTTTTAGATTGAAACATTATGTTATTTTAGCATCATTTACATACTATTATGGGTTTTTATATTTGGAATTGATTTTTATATTTTATATATTATTTTGAATTGAGTTTTTATTTTTGTATTTTCTGTTTTCATTTTAAATAGTACTAACAGTAATTTTTAGAGAAAGTGTTTTTGTCATTTCTAGTAACTGTTTTAATATATTGTTATTTTATAAAATATATTGTTTTTTTGTTCATTTTTATTTCAGTTTTAGTTATTTTAGTACATTAACAAATTAAATGAATGAGAAATGTTGCTTTGGCGACTAAATGAAAATAAGTTGAAGTTTATTTATACATTTTCTTTTCTTTTATTTCAGTCAATGTTTATATTATTTTAAGTAATGACAGTGTTTCTTTTTTTATTGTTTTAGTTTTAGTTAACTATAATAACCCTGGCTTCAAAACACTGTGACAGAACTACATATGTCATCAACTGCTGGGAAAACAGCACTGCTTTCTCAAATGTCAGACTATAAAGTTGAGGACAGGGGCGGCGCTAGGGGTGGGCTAAGGGGGATGAAGCCTCGAATGTTTTTACTATGCCCTGAACGAATCATCACTGAGTTTTCATGCGCATTAAAATAATTTCTATTAGTACTGCAGATTTGCTCTCTGCACATCCAACAGTGTCTACTGTCTATTGTCATTCACCCCCGACAAGACCCGCCCCACTGAGGCTCGTACTTCTGATTGACATGTAAACTGGCCAACCAACGATAAAGTCTATATAATATAGTCTATATAATAGTCTATAAATAGTAAGTGATTTAAATTGTAAAGACAATATTGTCTTTTTTGCTCTATTTCTCTAAAAGAAAATGGTTCCAAACAAAGCCATGTTGAGCATCTCTGTAGCAGCACACAGCGGTGTTTCCTTACTGAATGAATTTGCGTTTTTGAACAAATCGGGTGAGTCGAAGATTCACCATGTTTAATTAGGCCTATACTTCGCTTTGTTTTAAATATATATTATAATACATATAATATAATATATATAATATCTATCTATATATATATATATTTGTAAGCGTATCCCATGTATTTTGACACATATGTCTCTGGGCTAAACCCCGGATATCTACTCACTCTAGAACCGCCACTGGTTGAGGATGATCAAGTATAAGTGTACATACTCTTCAAAAAACTGCATCAAGTAAATCATAAAACAATAAACAAGCAAAATTGTTTTGGCATTTGTGTCTGAGGTTTAAACGAAAGAATTCAAAGCTTATCTCAACGTTCAAACCAATCACAAATGCTAAGACGGACGATAAACACAAAGACTGCTTTGCACCTGCAACACATCAACAGCAATAAGGGCAGGAAGACTCCACATACCAGAAAACAGTGAACCAAGAATGTCCCACACCCCAATCCAGCAGCCCAGAGGAGAATCACACGAGATCTTGAGCTCACCAGGACACCCAGATTGCTGCACTGACAAAAGAGAATCATTGCTAAGGTAATTAGGGGAAAGCAAGAAAGAGGAAGTGGTTTCTGGACAACTGGACTACAGTGACATTCTTATGTGAAAGTTTTGGAAGTCTGCAATTCACTCACTGAATACATTTTACAATAAAAACTGAACATCTTCACATTCAAGAAGATACAGCACATTAACACTGAGTCCAAAACAAATGCAATGTGATAAAACAGTAAAGTGTTTAATCCAAACTTTTCCATGTTAATCTGAGTTTTTTCCGAAACAGCATTGAGCATGAAGTCATTTTGACAGTCACTATTTTTGCTGTGTTCTGTGAAGCACCACCTACAGTAAAATATCACTGGTTCAAAATCCTGTTCTGCATAGTTTATTTTAAATGTCAAATATGTTTTACATGGCTGTGGTTTAGTTGGTGTAATACAAAAATCAATCACAATACAGTAATTGTAATATGGCTGAGATTAAAAATGTGGTCAAAAGACTAATTTGGGTTAACTGGAGATTTTGCTATGGGTTTTTATAATGTGATTTTTCAATTTGTAAGTAAATCAAGGTCTGTGATAAATATAAATTGGCGATGTTGACTAGGGGTGGAACGGTTTGCGGAAAAAAAATAGAACCGTACGGTTCTCCAGAGTTCACACACGCGCTAGGACCGCGGTTCAATTTAAATCTGACAACTGCATCTGTAATATGGTTTGCTATAAATAACACGTAAAACAAACAGGGTTCGGCTAATATATGATTCTGTTGATGGATGCGCATTCTGGCTTCCCAATACATTACAACAACAGCGATAAAAAATAAAAAAAAACGTGGACAAACCATTCACTCTTGTTCAATGCGAATGCCGTATGAAGGAATATGAGCAGTCATTTATTCCGTCATCACCCGGGTGCTGATAGCGCGCGGGCACAGGTGAGACCTGAACAGCACACGTTGATATCTGTGTTTAAGTTAAGCTCATGTAAGCTTTGCCAGTTTAAACATGTAAGAGCCAGAGGACGCGAGCTCGCGCGCGCAGTGAGAAGATTTGTGCGTGCGCTCATCCGAAGCGCACAAACCCGCGCCTCAGAACACGCGCAAATATTAAGCTCTCTCTGAAGTATATTGTGTTTAAATGGACAAATTCACACAAAAAGTATGTCAAAATGCCCGTCTTAGTAAGTATCCTATAGCAGACATAGCCGCCTGAACGTACTTTATCAGTGCACTGGATCAGTGCATTCTCTTATAGTGACAGCACTTTCTTAATATTAATCAAACAGCAACAACAAAGAAATCACTCACTGCTCTTGATTGAATAGCTTTTGTAACTTTAATAAAGATTAATCTTAATTTATACAGTCAAATATGCAATGCTGTTTTACATTTCATTACTTTATTCAATTTCTGTACTTAAAAACTAATGTTACACCGACCTAAAAAAAACTGAAAATCACTGTTTATTTTATTTGTACCTTTATACTCTATTGTATTTATTTGTGTTGTTGCTTGTAGTTAGATAGATTATTCTTATTTTCTTTATTTTTATTTGACAGTATAGTTTTTGCCTAAACATAGCACATACCGAATCATACCGAAACCATGACTCTAAAACCGTGATACAAACCGAACCGTGAGTAAGTTGAACCGTTTCACCCCTAATATTGACCCATACTGCAACAAAAAAAAAATTTTTTTTTTTGGTAACTACAAAAGAACATTTGGGATGTGAGTGTTTGCAGTTTATGTTGTAAAACAAATCATCCAAGTATTGTCAAGCTATGTTCTGAAACATTACTTGTTTATTGTAAAGTGTAGTGTATTTATACTACCGTTCAAAAGATTAGGGTCATATTTTTTTTTTAATGGGGGGTTGAAATTAACACTTTTATTTAGCCAAAAAAAAAACAAGTACGTACAAATTACCTTTTCCATTAAGGGGCCATTTTTGCCCCCTGGAAATCAATACATTTGTGAGGGCAATTTTTATCACTACCTTAATAATTGTATCTGTGTTTTCTTTAATGTCAAATACTTGAATTTAACCAATTACTTCAATCAATCAAAATACTTTAAACTGTTGCCAATAACAATTGACTGTTTAACATTGTATCTAAATTATACATTTAGAAACAGGAGCTAATATGGCTACAATATTATGACAAAAAAAAAACGTTATTGTCGATTATTGCTCTTGTAATAATGATTATTAATGTCAATTAATAGAATACATATAAAAACTTTTTTGTGTGTTTTGTGTCTGCGTTTTGGGAAAACGGCTCGTCATATATTCAGTCTCTAGCTTCACAGACAAACATGTCGGTCCATGACATTAGTCTAGTCAAGCGCAAGTTATGCAAAAACTCAAAATGAATCTTTTATTTACATTGTATCTGCACGATGTTGTCTATGATGAGTGAATTCAAGAATCCTAAGAATCCAAATATATGCATTCCTAAGCTGAACGAAAACGCTTGTGACTGGTTATAAGGCTCAACGCTGCAAAAAAAAAAACTACGCGCAAAGAGCAATGTGATGCAGTGTGAGGGAATCAAAATGTAATTCCGCGAATGGACACTTTTCATTCATTTTCACATTTAATTTTAATTGCAACAGCCGTAATTGACTGTTTCATTGTGCATGGGCAATTTTTGCCCCTTTATCTTGAATTTGTGGGGCATTTTTGTTCATTTTGGTGGCATTTTTGCCACAAGCCCCTGTTAATTTCCGACCCTGGTAAGTACACTTATAATGTAATAAAAGATTTCCATTTCATCAAAGAATCCTGAAAAAAAAAGGTTTCACAAAACAAATTAAGCAGCACAAAAATATTGATGATAATAATAAGAAATGTTTCCTGAACCCCAAATCAGGAGTTAGCCTGGAGTAATGGATGCTGAAAAATCACATTTTAAAATATTAAAATAGAAAACAGTTGTTTCAATGTTAATAATGGTAATAAAATTGTAATAATATTTTACAATATTACTGTTTTACTGTATTTTTGATCAAATAAATGCAGCCTTTGTGAACACTAGAGAATTCTTTCAGAAATATATATATATATATATATATATATACACACAGTATCTCACAGCAGACCAATTTGATGCAGTGTGCGGCTTATGGACTGAGCACTGACAGGCTGACCCCCCACCCCTTCGACCTCTGCAGTAATGCTGGCAGCACTCATACATCTATTTCCCAAACACAACCTCTGGATATGACGCTGA